GTCAGCCAATTTGTATTTTCTAATTAATGAAAAGACATGTTGAGAGAATGTTTGGTAAATTTTAAAAAATATTTATTTTAAAAATTATTATTTATAAATTAAAAATTTTATTGAAAATAAATAATAAAATTAGTTTTTTTTAGTGAATTGTAAATTATTTTTTTTAAAAAAAACTACACATCTAAATTTTTTTAAAATTTGTTTAAAATTTATTTTAAAAAATAATTTTTAAATTTATTTTTAATAAAATTTTTAATTTATAAAAAAATAAATAATTTTTAAATTTTGTCGAAACACACTCTAAATTAAGGTTTATTTAGTTCGAAAGCAACCCTTTTCAACTAATCAAATTAAATAAGTGAGCAACTAAGTGAAAATTTTACTTGTTTTAAACTTTTATTTTTTAAAAATTTCTTGAGTTAAATTTTTTATGTGATATCTTTATATTACGAATTTCGGTCACCAATTTTCATGTTGCTTCTATTGTTTAAGTTTAATCGATTCTTTATAATAATTAAATCATTTTATATTTATTTCAAATTTAAAAAAATTTTAAATTTATATAAAAAAAATTTTAATTAAAAAATTAAAATATATTGAGCAAAAAACTACCTAATTATCCAATAAATAACACACTACCCAAAGAGTAAAGATAAGGGTAATGCCTATTTTTACCTAAAGTATAATGGGTCGGGTTGAAGTAAAAAAATTACCTAACTTCCACCTGCTCCATTGTCATTCCTGCTCCGAAGAAAATGTTTCTACTGATAAAAATTGAAAAATCGTACTAATTAGTCCTTTTTCCATGGATGTACGTAAAGAATAAACATAATGAACAAACTTTCTTCCCAGTATCCATGCTAACAGACAGAAAACAGTGTTCCGGGATTTACTTTACCAAAACTTTATAAATTGACACCCATGAAATAATGAAAGTGACTACGGTGTGACATCCAACGCCAACCACCATACCGATACCGTTTTGTGGCATGCACATGGGAAGATTATGAAAGAGACTGTACGGCACACGCCTAACAGAAATCACCACCCCATTGAGTTCCTTTCCCAGCCTCATTATTATTAGTTATAATTCCACTATTTCAGTCCTCAGAATGACGCCTGCTGACCGTATGAAAAATAGCATAAAAAACAGGGGTCTCAGACCTCAAATATCGATAATTACTGAGTATATTTTAATAAAATAACAAAATGATAATTAAAATGTTGCATGTTATGTCTTAGTAGTTATGGCAAGACTGGTGTTTCTGTGCATCCAAAGCTACAGGAATTGCATGCCTGAATAATCATACCCATCTTTCCTAGATTAGGAAGATGAAATCATTCAATAAATTGTGACTGAATCTTGAAAATATATTAAAAATTCGTACAATCCTGCTTATTATGAGATCAAGACAGCATTTAAACTGTCAGATATTAATACTTTCTGGTCAAAGCATTAAAACATGTCTTACATAATAATCTTATCCTGAATCAGAATTAGCCTGTTGATCCTAACATCTCAGACAAATAGCAAAAACTAGCAACCTTCCACCGCTTTGTAGTGATAATCATCAATGGAGGAGTATACCAAACCTTCCTTCTCAAGAAACTCAATTGCATCCCTGGCATGGAACAGAATGAAATGCTATAAGTTATAAATAACACACAAACACACAGAGACAGAGACAGAGAATATACTTGATCTTCTCTATGGGTGATTTCAACTGTTGGGAAATTTCTTTTAGATGGACCCCCATTTCCCGTTCACTGAAAAAAGGGAATGCAATGTAAAGTCATTATTGGAAGTAATACATATAAGGCAAGAGATAACAGGTTGGGTGATTTTCTCAATAAAATGTCAGACACTTAAAATGAGTACAAGATCTACAGTTACAAAGTGAAAAGCAATATAGTCTAGTATATCACTAAGGCATGCAAGGTGGGTGGTTGTCTGATGGCCTCCTTAGCCTCCTTTCTTCAATAATCTCCTCATAATTACAATAAATGCAAATCTTTGCAGAGAGCAATATCCAAATTAAACATCTAAAATGGCTTCATCCGGGCACTATCATGCATATAGTAACCTGATTCAAATAATAACCTGATCCAAATAATAAATGGCTGACTTGAATCGCCAATAACTGATGATTAAGAGACCATGGGGCAAAGAAGATTATTTTGGTACTATGCCACGCATTAAGAAGGGGCATGTCAATGAAACTGTAGCAATTCACATGTATGTATGTCTACATTCATCCTCAGACATTATTTTCCAAACCCAAATATATTAAAGCCTCCCTAGTAAACAACATATAATTTCTCCAATACAACTTGCAAACAGAAGCAACCTTTAAAGTCTCAAACCCAATTCGACATGACATGCCCCAAGTACACATGCAAGTATATGGGGCCTGCATGAATGCTGCATAAACTGTGATTTTGGACACATTCCAATGTTGAGTTCTTTTCTGTGATTTCAGTGAAATATTCATAAAAGCCCCATTCTAAAATCCAACCCCCGTTCTAACCAAACTCAAAGTGGGTAGATCTTGACTAACGTGCACATGCATGAGCAATGTAGCTTATTTTGACACTTCTTAATCCAGATAGAACACATCAAAACCAACAAAACTGAGGCAGATCAGATATTAATGTAACTCACATGTTTGAAGGTTGCTGCAGATAGTTCAGGACCAATTTATCAAAGCCCTTGAGTCCATCTGGGCTGACATCCACGGTGAACTGGGAAAAAGGATATCAACAATATGGGAGAAATACACAGTAAAGATATTTAAAGTAAAACCACAAATTATTTGATGTTGTACATTATTAAAAGATGGTGTCTGGTATCCATTTGATGTAGTGTGCACAGGAGTATTTGACAATGATTCTATAAGCTGGGGCTGAGTCAGGGCACCTCCTTGACATTGGGTCTTCAATTAGGTACAAGTACAAAACTAGTTAAAAGCTGAACACATCTTCATGGGAATGAAAACTACAATGAATGAATGAATTAACAGCTTCAATCAATTCCAGACATACATACCAACAATTTGGCATTGTACAAATGGAGATAAATGCAATCAATGTAGTGGAAAGTGACTTCATCAAAATTTGTGACAGGCCTGAGAAACCATAAAATTAAAAAAGCATAAGGCCTATATTTTTACTATTAACATTTAGTAGGGGTAACTAGCTAATCCATTGATTATAGCACAAAAGACAAGATAAAATAAAGAGGTTCACATTTAACAAATGAAACTTTCCAATGTTCCTCAAAACAACCAGAAATCATATTCCTGATAAGTATTGGCAAAACCATACCCAAATACACAGGTTCATTAAGATAAGGACCGGAAAGAAAATTCACTATAGTGACAACAATTAAGAAACTAAAATCAAAAGGACAACAGCTAATCAGTAAAAATAGAGAGGAAAAAAGCTGTACACAAAGGAAATCTTCTCCTCTAATATCCATACCTCACAGAAAAAGCAACCAATTGCCTTTTGCCTTGAAAACTTTGCAAATGCCCATTGAGGCGAACATAAGTCCCATCACTAGTGCAAAGGAAAGTTCATTGTAAATTTTAGCAACAGTAATTAGCTTAAATAAATCAAAAGAGAAAACTTACTCAATTTCATCCATTTGTCTTGTCTCAGAATTTTCAGTTACCCTGAACAACGAATTAAAATTATTTAGGGGAATTGCAAAATAGATCCAAATTGCTTCTCTGATTTCTGAATTGATTTAAACTCTAACAAGCCAAAAGCTACCCTGTAAATAACCAGGCATAATTATTATGTATCAATTATATTGAAGTGCAGATCCGTGCATTACCATCTTATACACTCAATTCGCCCAGTCCCATCATCAAGGTGGAAACGAATATCATTAAAAGACCTTACTTTTTTATCAAACAGCATGCCAACCACGGTAACCTGGACCATAAAACCACACAACAAAAATATTAAAATGAATATGCAATAAGATTGGGTTGCTTTGATCTTCCAAAGCTAGAAATAAAAACTTAGATTAAATCAAAGCTATGAAATAATCAGAAGGCAAGGTGCTAAGAAAAACAAATGTAGTACTATGAATTTTTGCCTGCATCCTCGGAAACAAAACGATCAACATAAATAACTTTCATCATACGCAAAATCGTACATTTGTAACATCAACACCATTGATTGTAAAATTAGACTTCTCATCACCGGATTGAGAAGCTTCACTTATCTGCTTGACCGTAACTGGAATCAATCCTTGTGAATCCCGGCCCTGCATACAAAAACAGAACTGAAATTCAGATACTGTAAAACAAACTTAACCACACTGAAACCCTAAACCTAATTTTAGCAAGCTATCCAAAGCAATAGAATAAAATCGAGCAGAAAAAATATAATGAGGAAATAAAACAGGAACAGCCCTAACATCATTTGAAGGTCAACATCGAAATTTTTAATTCCGCGTCAAGTTTTATGCATCTCGTTTAGTGAAACTCACGCGTTCGTCACCTTCCTACACACTACCGGCGACGAAACAGGAAAAGGCGAGGAGAGACAACTCACCTTCGAAGGAGACGGCGTGGAATCGGCGAACCGAGACGGCTGACGCTGAGAGGGCATGAATCCACCGCCAGAAAAGGCGGAGGTAGCGTCGAATGGGTTGTTGGAGGACATGTTCGGAACCCTAGAGAGTGAAACGGTGCGGAAAGAGGGTGAAAGGGAGGTGTGAAATCGAAATTCAAATCGCAATTAATCCGTTCAAACAGACGACAAAAGATAAACATGGGTTCGACTTTCCCGCCAATTTGCTTTAGATTTCCCGCCTTCTTCCCGGCCTTATCTACACAAGAAAAGC